TTGAATTTGCCTCATGAAAACAGTATCATCGAAAAATCCTCACAGTTCAAATATCTGGGCGCCATTTGTGTAAATAGAAGGACTCCGCTGGTGCCTTCATCTTCAAGAGCCTTACAAACGATTAGACTCAAAGAGGACTAGCAGTCTCACCAAGATCAGCCTGTTTCAGCTGCTGTCGGGTCAGTTCAGGTGTACGGATTGGAAATGGTTGTCCTCACAGGAGCACAGGAAAATCGACGCCTAAAACAGCCCTAGTTGCACCGGCTGCTGAAGATCAAGTGGTACGACCAGATTAAAAAAACCGTCATTTTGGCACAGGCTGACCTTAAGCTTGTTTGTTAAGACCAACAGTTTGTTATCTCTCTAACCGAAACATCTGCTGGAAAATCACCTGTGTGAGAATACGATGTCATGAACGTAATTCGAATAAGTGTTAAACTTTATTTTGGGCCACCATGTTAACGTTTATTCAGTCCTTCGTAGATTTGCGGTGTAATGTTGATTTGGAGTTGTATGTTCCATGAATTCTGGAATGCAACGCCAATGCTGCCCTATTGCGGTATTCAGTGGAATATGAGGTTCTGATTGAAGAGTATGAGAATCTACTGCGCAAGGGAAAGAAATTAGCGAACAGCATGTTTCAACATTCACAGACAGCGAATTCAGCTGTTCGAAGATTGATCAGAAAGAAGGAGAAAGTTGTAACTGTGAGACAAGCAAAAGTTTTGATGGTGAACAGCTTCTTTGGAGAGTGACATTAGCGGAACGGGAAAAAGGAAGGTAAAACATTGTCATAACATTTTAATGGTTTCTGGTAGAAAAGGTAAAAAAATTAATTTACCGAGCACAAAAATATTCATTCCTTTAATTCACGAAAAGGTATGCTTGTATGCACAGGATGCAGTTTTGACGCACGTCACGTTTTCACGCACGAGAAACTGAGCGAAAGAATTGCTTTCATGTCGGCTGTATCTGATGAGAAATGTTAATGTGACCATGAAAAACGGCTGTTCTGCGATTGAAGCACCAGATGCCCGAATCAGAATTAACGATTCCTCCAGGAACAGTTTTATTCTTTCATTCAAAAAGTCATCGCTTAAAGTAAAAAACATTTTTAAAAATGGGCTATTTTATTTCTTCGAATAATTGGAACAGTTTTGGCCGTAAGACGATTAGGTTGTCAAATTAATAAAAAGTCGAACCAAATCGTTGAACGTCGCGATCAGTAATTCATGAAAGTTCAACTTAAAGTTCCATGTATTTGACGCTCTCTCAAGAACGGTATAATAGCAGATACGAATATGCAAATACGGATTTGTCTCTGACTGAACCTTTGAGCGGTGATTGGGATTAAGTGAATAAGTGCAAGGAATTTAAGGCAACCGAATTTCGAAGCGGTGATACTAGTAAACATCAAACATCAAGCAAAGAATGACTATAATTCATATAATCGTATCTGACGCAGGAACAATGTGCAACCGACTAAATAAATTCAAAACATCGATATAATACGACACAACTATGGCAATCCATTCGATCGTGCAGGAGTGTGTCCATCCATTCGGTCTCAATTCTACTCCATTTACCACACGTAGCTGACAGACAGGCTCCGCAGTAGTGCCCTCAGTTTGCAGAAAAGAAGAAAGACATGACAGCGATGATACGAAAAACCGATGAACAAGTGACTGAATGGAAGATATAGCAAACAAATGAAATAAATGAGTGTCATTACTTAAGATAGAATCGCTAGAGCATGCAAGCATTGTTGGGAATTCAGATGACTTGAATTTCTAGTATGTAGTGTAAATGATATCTGAAACGAAATACACATGTATGTCAGTACGCTCACGTTCACACCTGTGGCAACGGCATGAAGGAAAGGAGATTTATGCAAAGCATTTCCAATGGAAAGGTGGAGAAGGCATTAGATTACCTAAAACAATGTAGATACCCCGGTGCCTTCTGTTAGCCGACGCTTATTACTGGTGAAGTACAGTACTTTTGAACGTCGCAGGCTCTTGGCGTGTAATCGAATTGAACTATGAAAAACCTTCAGTCACACGTTTCTACACTGCAGTTTTAGCAAGCTCTTAATTCCGCTAAAAACGAATGGTGAAAAGTTGCGAAGAAAACTGTGAGCATCGGATCACTGAACGATCGTCAATGATCAACAAATAACGAGAAATTGTTTAATGCAAGTAAGCATTACTTAATGCGCAATCAAACGACTGTGTCGGGACAATCGAGTCGATATTTCAAGTAACGCGACAGTTTCACAATTACAATCCAATGTTCTTGTTGTCTCCTCCCAAAACGTTAAATTTTAATTGAGAACAGGTCGAAGTGCGAGAATTAGCGTGTCATATGGATGTACATTCATAAACTTTTCCATTACGGCAAAAAAATTTTTCGTTTTGACACGAATTCATGTACAAATCCTTGATTAAATTAATATCCTAGAAACTTATATGGATTATTCGGGGCAATAAAATAGCATTTTCTGCACAAGACAGAGAAAAAATCACAAAGTTTAGGCATTAAGGTTAAATTTTATCACACAGCGTTATTTCTGTAAAGTACAATAATTAATCTAACAATGAAGGAACTCAGCTCATGGTTATTTTGACCGCAAACTGTGTACAAATACACATTTCTTTTTCTTTAGATCATGAAAATGTAGAACTATCTACTTTAGCTTTGCAGAATGTAGAGTTGAAATTTTATGAAGAGCAGGCAATGATTTTAAAGCATACTGCCTAACGTGTACCGCATTCTTTCTCTAGCTTCTTAAATTATGGATTTACCTAAGTTTTACTGAGAATCAAATTAACAGTCAGCATACAGTAGCTGAAATCACGATATCACGTCGTTTATATTTATTTAAAATCACTGTTGGTCGGTTTTTGCAATTTTATTGTGCTCTGCAATTTGATCGACTTTTAAAATGTAACGATTGTCTCTTCTATTTTTTTATAAATGTTTCGAAGCTGGTGATGCTCTTTTTGAAACATTGCTAACTTTCCCGTAAGTGAAGGTGGCCAAATGTGCACTTGTCGTTTCCCGCTTGCCAAAGAACGCAGGCGTTTCAAAAGTGATCGGCTGGTGATGTAGGCGATTTTCGGACGATGCTCGTCACCAATTACCCGATGTGGTGATTTGTTGGACTTTGATCTCGTATCTCCTTGGCTGTTGTTTTCAGGA